GTGTCTGCGGCGGGTGGCGCGGCCAGGGCCGGCAAAGCGGGAAAAATATTCAACACACAAACCAGGACGAACACGAGCGTCGTGATTCGAAGACCCGGTTCGAGTCGGGCAGCTCGCGATTGTCGGATCATGGTTTCCCCTGCCAGCGAGACGTGTCCCGATCATCGTCGCCATGGGTGGCAGCGTCAACATTTTCGAAGATGAGCGAAAGGCCTGAAAGCCCTCGGGTTAAGTCCCATCAGCCGCGGTCCAGGCTCCCGCACCGTCTGCAGGAATCCTCAAATTCGCTCAAAATCGGCCACCAGAACTGGTATCATCAGGGAGAAGGTGCATTAGCGCGATGCATCCCCGCCCACGTCTTCCCCAAGTGAACTCGACCCTGGTTGAGGAGTCGGCAGGTCTCTTTCCCCGCCCGTTACGCTATGCATCAATTCGGCGTGATCAAGTTTCCAAGCATCGCAGTTGGAGTTGCAGCTGCTTTTCTGCTCGCTCCTGGTGTTGTGAGTGCCGAAGAGAAGTCGCTCGACTTTGCACACGATGTTTATCCGATCCTTCGCCGGGCTTGCATTGAATGCCACGGGGCCGAGGTTCAAGAAGCCGGGTTGCGGCTCGACACGCGTGAGGCGGCAATTGAAACGGCGATCGATGCGGGGCTAGTGGTTCCTGCCGAGCCCGACTTGAGTGAGTTGCTGCGGCGGATTGAACTTCCGGCCGGCGATGATGAGGTTATGCCGGCGGTGGGCGACCCGTTGCCTGTGCAACAGGTTGAAGTGCTTCGACGCTGGATTTCCCAAGGCGCCATCTGGCCAGAAGAATTCGAAGTGTCGCAGCACTGGTCGTACAGCGTTCCGGTGCGACCTGAACTGCCTGCGGTTTCGAACCAGACCTGGCCTCGCAATGAAATTGATTACTTCGTGCTCCGGCGATTGGAGCAGGAGGGGCTTGCGCCCTCGCCGGAGGCGGATGCGGCGAAGCTGATGCGGCGCGTCTCGCTTGACCTGGTGGGTCTCCCCCCTTCGCCGGCAGAAGTCGATGCGTTTCTGGCAGACACCTCCGACGATGCCTATGTGCGGTTGGTTGATCGCTTGCTGAATAGCCCTCAATTCGGCGAGCGTTGGGCCCGACCGTGGCTTGACCTGGCTCGCTATGCCGACTCGCACGGTTTTCAGCGGGACAACTTTCGCGACATTTGGGCCTATCGCGATTGGGTGATTGCTGCGCTGAACGAAGATATGCCATTCGATCGGTTTACGGTTGAACAGATCGCCGGCGACTTGCTTCCGGATGCGACCGAGTCGCAAAGAATCGCTACTGGGTTTCATCGCTGTGCACCGACCAACGTCGAGGCCGGTTCGCTACCGGAGGAGACCCGAATCGAACAGGTGATCGATCGCGTGAACACCACGGGGGCCGTGTGGTTGGGCACCACGTTCGAATGCTGCCAATGCCACGACCACAAGTACGACCCGTTCACGCAGAAAGATTACTACCGCCTGTTGGCATACTACAACAACACCGAGCGGGAAGCGGATCGGGCGAACCCCAAGGTGCCCAGTTCGATCGCCTTCATCGGCCCATCGATGGACCTCTCTGACCCGATGCGGGATGGTCGTCGTGGCGAGTTGCAGAAGAACCTTCAACAGATCACACGCGAACTCGCGAAGCGACGGGGTGAGCTTGACGTCGAGCTTGATGCTCGAGTTGCGGATCTGGCCCAACAGATCGCCAACGCTCCGGAAGAGCATGTGCTGGCCGTCACGCAGTTCACTTCGGCGGGTGAGACCGATTCGTATGAGATCCTGGATGACGGCTCGGTGCTGCTGCGAGGTAGCGACCCGCCCGAGCACGACACGTATCACATTACGCTGCAGACCAACGTCACGAACATTCGAGGCATCAAGCTGGAGGCGCTCGCAGACGACTCTCTGCCGGGTAAAGGTCCCGGGCGTGGCGATCCGGAGCGTACGAACTTTGTGTTGAACACATTCGCTGTGGCGGTGCGTCCGACCGGCGAAAGTTCCTCTCCTGTTCCGGTGCAGTTCGGTGAAGCGACGGCCAGTTATTCGCAGCCGAATTGGGATGTGCAGGGCGCGGTGGACTCCAATCTAAAGTCGGGCTGGGCCATCGCACCGGAGTTCGGTCGTTCGCATTGGGCGGTATTCGAGACGAACGAACCGCTTGGCTACGAGGGCGGGACCGAGTTTGCAGTGTCGCTCGAACAGAACTTTGGTGGGGCACGTTCTATCGGCCGCGTTAGGGTTTCGGCGATCACCGGCGAAGTTGGGCAAGCGGAAATCCCGGCTGGGGTGAAGAAGCTTGTTGCGAAGTCGACTGAGAAGTGGAACGCGAAAGAACGCCAACAGGTCTTGGACTACTGTGTTTCGGTGGACCGGGAAGCGAAGCAACTCACCGCCCGGATGCAGCGTGTGAAGAAGCAGGTCAATGAACTCGCTCCCGATACCACGCTGGTGATGAATGAACTGGCCGAACCGCGGCCGGCGGCGGTTTTCGAGCGTGGAGATTATCGCAACCCGGGTGAAGCGGTTAGCCCTGGTACTCCTGAGGTATTGCATTCTCACAGAGAAGGGCCAGCCAATCGCCTGACCCTGGCCCGATGGCTGGTCGATCCGCAGAACCCGTTGATCGCGCGGGTGACGGTCAATCGCTGGTGGGCCGAGATGTTTGGTCGGGGGATTGTACCGACGCTCGAGGATTTCGGCATTAAAGGCGAACCGCCGACGCATCCGGAGTTGCTTGACTGGCTGGCCGTGGAGTTCGTCGACAGCGGTTGGTCGATGAAACATGTAATGAAGACGGTGGTGATGTCGGCCACTTACAGGCAGTCGTCGCATACTTCGCCGGAGCTTCTCGTTCGCGACGATCAGAACAGTCTCTACGCGCGGGGTCCACGCTTCCGGATGGATGCGGAGATGATTCGCGACAACGCACTGAGTATCGCCGGTCTGTTGAGCCTGAAGCAGGGCGGCCCGCCGATTCGGCCTTATCAGCCCGAGGGGGTGTGGTCGAAGGTTGGCGGCGACCGCTACAACTACGAGGTAAGCCCTGGCAGCGAGCAATATCGACGCGGCGTGTATGTCGTTATCAAACGCGGCGCGCCATACCCCAGCTTTGTGAACTTCGACGCGACCGCGCGACTCGCCTGCGTGGTGGAACGGTCGCGTACGAATACACCCTTGCAGGCGTTGACGTTGCTGAACGACCCCGTTTATGTCGAGGCGGCGGCCGGCCTGGCGAAGCGCGTGTTGGCTGAAAGCCCCGATAATTCAATCGAAGAGCGGGTGGCCTATGCATTCCAGCTTTGCACTTCTCGCGAGCCTACCCAGCAGGAGTTAGAGACCCTTTGCGGTTTGTATGCACAACAACTGGCCGCGATCCAGGAGAACGCGAAGGCCGCCAGGAAGTTGGTTGCCGATGTCGAACTTCCTCAGGGGATTAAGCCGGTCGAGTTTGCGGCCTGGCATTCGGTGGCCACAACGTTGCTGAATCTGCACGAGACGATCACCAAGGGATAGCCACTCCTGGAGCGTGTCATGGAACGTCAAACATCGATCAACCACAGCATCTCGCGCCGCACGTTTCTCAATACCGGCGGGCTGGGTCTGGGGAGTATCGCACTGGCCGGGTTGTTGCATCGCGAGAACCTGCAGGCGGCCCCCGCGAGTGAGAACCCGTTGGCCGCCAAGCAGCCCCACTTCGCCCCGCGAGCGAAACGGGTGATCTACCTTCACATGATCGGGGCCCCATCGCAGTTGGATCTGTTCGACGAGAAACCCGAGCTGGCGAAGTACGACGGAAAACCTTGTCCGCCGGAAGTTACCAAGGGTCGCGACTTTGCCTTCATCGGGAAGACTTCGACCTTGGCCGCCTCGCAATGGAAATTTGCGCGGCACGGTGAGAGTGGGCAAACGATTTCTGAGCTGCTGCCGCATCTCTCGGGCGTGGCCGACGAGTTGGCGGTAGTCCGTTCGCTGCACACCGAAGAGATCAACCACGCGCCAGCGCAGATGTTTCTGCACTCGGGGTTCGGCCGCGGCGGGAGACCGAGCTTTGGATCTTGGGTCACGTACGGTTTGGGATCCGAGAATGAAGATCTTCCGGCATACGTCGTGCTGGTCAGTGGGCCCAAGGGTGGTGCGGGTACCAGTCTGTGGTCGACGGGCTTTCTGCCCAGCATCTACCAGGGGATTCAGTTCCGCTCGCAAGGCGACCCGGTGTTGTTTCTTTCCAGTCCTCAAGGGCACAGCCGCAAAGATCGTCGCCGGCTGCTCGACGCGCTGGGACAATTGAACGAACAGCGGCAACAGACCACTGGCGACCCCGAGATTGCCACACGGATTAGCCAATATGAAATGGCTTATCGCATGCAGGCCTCGGTGCCGGAATTGATGGACATTTCGCAAGAGACTCAAGAGACGCTCGACCTGTACGGTGCGAAGCCGGGGGCCGAGTCGTTCGCCAACAATTGTTTGCTGGCCCGGCGGTTGGTTGAACGCGGTATCCGACTGGTCGAGCTGTACGATGCCGATTGGGATCACCACAACGGTCTCGCTACGCGGTTACCTGCGAAATGCAAAGAGACCGATCGCCCCATGGCGGCACTCATTCGCGACTTGCGGCAGCGGGGCTTGCTCGACGACACGCTGATTGTCTGGGGATCGGAGTTCGGGCGAACGCCGCTGCAACAGAACGACCGCAAGACGGCCGGTCGCGATCATCACAAAGACGCCTTCACCATGTGGCTGGCCGGCGGCGGGGTGAAGGGCGGGACCAGTTACGGCCAGTCCGACGATTTCGGCATGGACGTGGCCGAAGATCCCTTCCACGTGCACGACCTGAACGCCACTGTGCTGCACCTTCTGGGGATCGACCACGAGCGGTTAACCTACCGCTATCAAGGCCGCGAGTTCCGCCTGACCGACGTGCACGGGAAGGTCGCCCACGAATTGCTGGCCTAAGACTGAGGTGACTCAGGCTTGGGTTTACTCGAAGGTCGCCAACTCGGGTGGGATGCGGGGAGTTCCACCGCTCTGAGAACAAACGTAGGCGGCGATTCGGCAGGCCGTGCGGTTGATTACTTCCAACGGGCGATCTTCGAGCAGGCCGAGCGTGAATGCGGCCGTGAAAGAGTCCCCGGCACCGACGGTGTCGACCACCTTGGTCTTCACACCTGCGTGTTCATTGATCTCGTTGCCGCGTAATAACACGGCTCCGTCTTGACCGCGGGTGAGGGCGATGGCTTCCAACTCGAACCGCTCGGCGAGTGCTTGAAGAATCTCATTTTCCGAGCCGGACAGCTCGCATAACTTGGCTACCAGCAGGATCTCATCTTCGTTTAACTTCAGCACGCTGGCCATTTCGAGCGAGTCGAGGATGACCTCATCAGTGTAGAACGGGGCCCGCAGGTTGATATCGAAGATGCGCAGGGCCTCGGGCAGTGTGGCCAGCACAAACCGTTGGATGGTGCGGCGAGAGCATTCGCTGCGTTGCCCCAATGTGCCAAAGCAGACGGCGCCGGCACGGGTCGCCCGGCGATCGAGATCGTCCGACCATTCAATTGCATCCCAGGCCGCACCGGAGGCGAACTTATAGGTGGCCAATCCTTTGTCGTCCAGTTGGACGTCGACAGTTCCCGTGGCGCGGCTTTCGTGGCGTTGGATCCCTTCGGTGCCGACGCCGCGTTGCTGGAGGATCGTCACACCGTCGGTCCCCAGAGCGTCGGCCCCCACGGCGCTGACCATTTCGGCTTTTCCGCCCAGGGCTGCCACATGGCAGGCGAAGTTGGCCGGGGCTCCGCCGAAACGTGGGCCATCGGGAAATACATCCCACAAGATCTCGCCCAAGCCGACGACGGTCGGTTTCTCGCTCATCGCTACATCATCCTTGCTTGCTGCAGACTAATGACTCGCTGGTTGATTTAAAAATCGCGGAATGGCCCTCGCGGTTCGGCGGCATCCATTTCCGCTCGCCACTCGGCAAAGCGGGCTTTGAGTTGGGCCAGCTTCTCGGGGTGGCTTTCGGAAAGATCGGTCGTTTCACCAATGTCTTGCGATAGATCGTAAAGTCCACTGCCTTGCGACGATTCAACCCACTTCCAGTGTCCCACTCGGGCGGCCTTGTCGCCCCGGCGTTGCCAGAGCATCTCAGTTCGCGGTGAGCTTTCGTCACCCGCCAAAACCGGAAGCATATCGTAGCCGTCGAGCTTCAGGCCTTCGGGCCGTTCCACACCGCACAGGTTGAGCAGCGTGGGAACGAGTTCCAACGATGTGAGGAACGCATCGCTGGTCGCTCCCGCGGGAATGCGTGGAGGATACCGCACGATGCACGGTACGCGAATGCCTCCTTCGAACATTTGCCCTTTGCGGCCGCGAAGTGGACTGTTGTCACTCCCCCCAGAGCCGCCGTTGTCGGAAGAGAAGATGACGATCGTGTCGTCGGTAAGCTCGTATTCATCGAGCAAGTCGAGCACCTCGCCAATCGCGTCGTCCATGCAGGTGATGCTGGCCGCATATTCCAGTCGTCGCGAGGCGGTGTTACGAACCAGGGCGTTCTTGGCGTAGCGAAAGTCGCGACGAATGAACTTGGCTTGTTGCTGAAGCTCCGGGTAGAGCTTGCGGTATTCTTCGGTGGCCTGAGCGCCCGAGCGAATCTTCGGATCGAGGTTCGAAGCGCCGTGCGGTGCATTAAACGGCAAGTACATGAAAAACGGCTGTTCGTGATGCGCGTTCAAGAACTGTACCGCTTCGCGGCGGAATAGATCGGTGCAGTAGGTGCCTTTGTCTTCGGTCGTGGGATTTGTATTGCGGAACATCGACGGCACGCCGTAGCGTTCGTGTGTGAAGTAATCGATACCGGTATTGGTGAACCCATAGAAGTCGTCGAAGCCCCGGGCTGCGGGCAAAAAGCGTTGCAGCGACCCCAGGTCCCATTTGCCGAAGATTCCCGTGGCGTACCCGGCGTTGTGAAACATCTGTGAGATGAGAATCTCGCGGGTGTCCATACCGCCGATTCGCTCGAAGGTAACCGCGTACTCTTCGGGGCTGTATTTATGTCCGTAGTCGGGGGCTTCGTTGCGAATCATGTCGTAGATGCCATTTCGCTGAGGGTAGCGGCCCGAGAGGAGGCTGCCTCGGCTGGGTGTGCAGGCCGGCCACGTGACATAGAAGTTGGTCAACTTCACGCCTCCGCTGGCCAGTCGGTCGAGATGCGGGGTAAGGACTTCATCGCTACCGAAGCATCCCAAGTCGCGGTAGCCCTGGTCGTCGCTGACAATGAGCACCACATTCGGCGGCGCGGCGAAAGCCGTGCTGTATAAGGAGATGAGGAACAAGAGAGTTGTGAAGACCCGAATAGCTCGCATAATGACCTCGCCAGAATAGAAGTCCGCTCACCCCCACCATAACCCCGATCGCCCGGAATAAAAGAGTGGGCCGCTCTGTGAGGGCCGTGAGTGATGAAAACCACACCCGGAGGTGGCTACAATAGTCGGTTACCGCTCTGTCAAGCGGATACTACAGAGGGTTGTTCCGAAGTCTTTCACTTAAAGCTGCAAGCAAGATCGCATAAGGAATACAAACGATGAGAACTCATGGGCTTGGTATAGTCGTGGTGCTGTTGAGTACGCTGGGGTCGGTGGTTAATGCCGAGGACACAACAACACCTTACGGAGATAAACCGCACGCGATCCCCGGCACGATCGAGGCCGAGCACTATGACAAGGGGCCTGCGGAAGTCGCTTATCACGATGATGAAGAAGAGAATCTGGGCGAGGACTATCGTGAAGCGACGCAAGTCGATATCGAGAAACGGCCCGACGCTTCGAATGGCCACGGTGTGGGCTGGACTCGCAAAGGCGAATGGATCATCTATACCGTTGAGGTCACCGAGCCCGGAGAGTACAAGCTCGAAATGCCCGTGGCTTCTGATAAGCAAGGCGGCAAGTTTCATCTGGAATTCGACGGTAAAGACGTCACCGGCCCGATCGAAGTGCCCGACACCGGGGGTTGGCAGAAGCTGAAGCTCATCACCAAGTCTGGAGTGAAGCTCGATAAGGGGCGCTTCACGATGAAGATGGTGATGGACAGCGAAGGCCCTTCCGGTAGCATTGGCGATATCGACTACATTCGCTTCGTGAAGCAGTAGCCTCGCTAGGGTTTCAAATGCTCGTCGAACCATTCGATGGCCAGGCGTTCTGCTTCGGCACGTTTGGCGAGATAGATGCCGTAATGGGTGATGCCGGGAATGGTGACCAGCTTTTTCGGTCCTTTCGCCCGGGCGTGGGCTTTGATGGCATGGTCTTCGTTTTTGAATAGCTCTTCGTTTTCAGCAATGACGAAGAGCATTGCACACTGCGTGGCCTCGTCGACATCATCGACGGGGGCGTACCGCATGAGCTTCTCGCGAATGGGAGCTCCGCGCAGGTTGCCGATCACGCGGGCGCCGGGCTCTGGATAGCCGATCTCACCCCGGGCTCGCTTCGTTGCTTCGCGATAGGTCTGCTCGCGTTCGGCTTCGGTGGCCACCACGAACGTCGAATCCAATGCCGGCACCTGGCTCACGGTGGCTTTCACCCTGGGGTCGTGGGCGGCCGCGTAAACCACATGCCCGCCTGAATAGCTGGAACCCCACAATCCGATTCGTTCGGGATCGCACAACGGTTCGTCTTGGATCCAGTGCAGCACGTTTAGCAAGTCGGTCGTTTGATCCAACGGGTCGACGACTTCGCGGATTTCGATCACTTCGGCCGTGAAGCGATTGCCCGAGCGATCTTCTGGCGCCGCAGAGGCGAGGATCACCCTGCCATCGCTCGCCCCCCAGCCACGGTAGTCGAAAGTGAGCACAAGATATCCGGCTCGAGCAAAAGCGACCGCTTCTGCACGAAGCTGAGCGGCGACGCCCCCCCAACCGTGCGACATGATGATGGTGGGCAGTTGCTCTTGCTGGGCATCTTCCGCCCAAAACAGGTCGCCGGCGAGTCGAGTGCCCTCGCTGATGATGGTGACGCTGCGATGCTCGATGCCATCGGGTGGGGAGTACTCCTTTTTCTTTGGAGCCTCCGCCACCGCAATGGTGGCACACAGCAGGACAAGCGAAAATTGACTGACGGTGGCCAGCGTCTTGCGCATGGGGATGCTCTCGATTCAGATGTGTGCGATGGCGTGGAAAGTACGGTCTTAAGTGCTCGGTACTGAAGCTAACGCCCAGAAAATTGCCATGCAACGTTTTCTTGCAATACGAGCGATCGGCCGGCTCTCATGATACAATCGGGCAGCGGATGAACTGGGCCCAGGCTGCACCCCATCCGCCTCCCGCCACGCAGCCGCTCGACATCTTTCCGGCCGAGAGTTAAGCGATGTCTGCCCGTGCCAAGAGACGGAAGCCTGCTTGCAAGAACGAGTTGCTCTCATTATTCATCGTGCTAATCAGCAGTCTGCTGATGTCTGCCTTCGCTGCCAACTGCGCGTCGGCGGATGAAGGTCCGACGTTCGAACAACTCGGGCAGCAATACAACGAGGCAATTCACCCGTTGCTTTCACAGTATTGTCTCGACTGTCATTCGACGGATGCGAAGGAAGGGGAACTTGATCTCGAGCGGTTCGCCAACTTCTCTGATGTTCGCCAAGACGCGGCCGTTTGGCAGAAGGTGGCCCAGATGATGGGCAATGGTGAAATGCCGCCGGAGGATAGTTCTCAGCCAACGCCGGAAGAACGCGCGGCTTTGGAGAGTTGGGTGAAGCAGTATTTGGATGCCGAGGCGATGAATCGCGCCGGCGACCCGGGCCCTGTGATTCTGCGACGTCTCAACAATTCGGAGTACACGTACACAATTCGCGACCTGACCGGCGTGGAACTCGACCCGGCCAAGGAGTTCCCCGTCGACAGCGCTGCGGGCGAGGGGTTTACCAATACGGGCAGTGCGTTGGTGATGTCACCCTCGCTGGTGACAAAGTACATTGACGCGGCCAAAGACATTTCGGCTCACGCGGTCCTGTTGCCCGATGGTATTCGCTTCTCCGCAAGCGACACGCGACGCGACTGGACCAACGAGACGCTGGCCGGTATCCGCGAGCTTTATCTCCGCTATACCGGTCGAGCTGGCGATATCAACTCGCTGAATCGCTGGGATGTGACCGATCCGACGAAGTTAACTGAGGCCGACGGTCGGGTCGACTTGGAGACTTACTTTCGGGTGTTAACGGAAAACCGGGAGGAAATCCTCGCCGACCGCGGGGTGACGGAAGAGATTGCAACGCAGCAAGGGCTCAGTCCCAAATATCTGCGACTACTGGCTGAGATGCTTTGTGATGACGATTCGGCTTCACCGCTTTTCGCCAGACTTCGCGAGCAGTGGAACACGGGTGATGTGCAGCTAGCTGCCGCGATGGCCGCGGATGTGCGGGCGTGGCAAGAGAAACTCTGGAAGTTCAACCCTGTGGGGCATTACGGGCAGGTGAGTGGATGGCAGGAACCGATCGCGCCGCTGGCGGCAGAGGAGAGCTTTCGCGTCAAGCTGGATGAGAGCGTAGAAGGCGATGTGACGCTGTACCTGGTTGCCGGTTCGGCCGGTGGTGACGAAGGCGACGTGGTGCTTTGGCAGGCTCCCCGCATTGAACGACCGGGTCGTCCGACGTTGATGCTTCGCGATCTGAGGGCTGCGTCGGTTGTGTTTGCAGAGAAGCGGCGAGAGACGTTGGCCGCTACGGCCCGATATCTTGCGGCCGCGTTCGATGTGCGGACGGGCGACGCGGGTCGTGAATTGGAAGCGATTGCCGCCGCTCACAAAGTCGATCCCGCGATGTTGCGTCCGTGGTTGTCGTTCTTGGGTATCTCTCACGCGGGTGACGTGAAGATTAAGGAGTATCTCCACAGC